AATACATTACGTGATGCCCCATTTAACCCACCAGAATTGTCGATAAGCTCTCTGCTGCCCTTAGAGGTTCATTCTTTCAGTTACGCAAACCCAAGATGTGAGTGTTTGTGTCAGCCATTCTGTAGGCATGTGTGTATTGAATTTCCAGTGTGTTAGAGTCTGTTAAAGGAATCATTTACAAAAATATTATTATTCTGTCATTATTTACTGGTCTCATAACACTTTTTTTTATTTTTTAAAGATATATTTATGGGCTTTTATGCCTTTATTTGGAAAGGACAGTGTAGAGTAGACAGGAAAGCATTGGGTGAAGAGAGAGGGGAGCAGGATCGGAAAAGGACCATGAGCCGGGATTCGAACTCGGTTCGCCATAAGCGCAGTTGCGCTGTATGTCGGCGCACTAACCGCGAGGAGTATTTATTAAATCCAAATGTCTGATAATATTATTTAAAGGACTGGAGTAAACATGAACTAACAATGAACCAAGACTAATAACCAAGACCATGACTAACATTAACCAAGATTAATAAATACTGTAAAAATGTATTGCTCATTGTTAGTTTAGTGCATTAACTAATGATAACTAATAAAAGTGTTATTTCTTATCCTTATTCCATTCCATTGGTTTTTAAGGAACACAAAAGGAGAATTTCAGAATACTACACTCTAAAAAATGCTGGGTTAAATACAACCCAGTGCTGGGTAAAATAGGGACAAACCCAGCAATTGGGCTGTTTTGACCCAGCGGTTGGGTTACTACCCAGAAGGTTGGGTTAAACATTTAACCCAACCGCTGGGTCAAAACAACCCAATTGCTGGGTTTGTCCCTATTTTACCCAGCGCTGGGTTGTCTTTAACCCAGCATTTCTTAGAGTGTATGTTTGTTGCTCTTTTCTATCCACTGTGAATGGAGAATGAAGCTTTCAAGCTTCAAAAAGTACATGAAAACATGAGAAAAAATGGTCCATAGGACACTGTATTCCAAGTCTTCTGAAGCCACAGAATACTTTTGAAAGAGACCAAATTTTTGTTACAATTTTCGTTTTTGGATGGTTAAGTCTTGAAGGTTTCTTCAGCACATTTAGTAAATTATGCATATATCCCCATCCCTTTCATCTGATATAATGTTCATATAATATGAATATAATGCATGCAGTGTAAAACGATATGGAACTGATCTGTTGTGTTTTTATATATTGATTTAATGCAGACTGGCAGATCGCCACATTGGCTTTGTTGTTGGGTGGAGTGTTCCTTATCCTCCTTTCCTTCCTGGTGGCCCTGGTGTCTGTCTGCATTCGCTCCAGGAGATGCTTCTACCGACCGGTCGCTGTTATGCTCTTTGCAGCAGGTGAAATTGACACAACCGTGCACACACACACACACACACTTACATTGAAGACATTAATGAGTTGGCTTCCCATTTCTGTTTTCCGTGCTCATTAAATTAGGGTTCATGTATTATGAATCTAAAATGTGTTGTTGGCTCTAAGACACAACTGCTGCGGCTAATGGACCAGGAGACAGCAAAGGCATTATTTTTTCAAGCCACATCACACAGCTGCTTCAGTAATCACAGGGAAAACATGTAAGGTATATCTGAAACAGACATTTTCGCATCTCTTTTGAGAGGATTTTTACATCGCTTTGAAGTCGCTCACTTTGTTGAGGAACTTATCAAGGAATAAAGCCCATTGAGGGTTCAGAAGACTTTTAATGTTCTTAACCTACTTTTGTCTCTTTGATGATTGCAAATTTAATTGCCAGCGCTCTTCTGTCTCTCACAGTGGTCCTACAGGCCTGCTGTTTGGTGCTGTATCCCATCAAGTTCATCGAAACCATCAGTTTGAGAATATACCACGAGTTTAACTGGGGCTACGGTCTGGCTTGGGGAGCCACCATCTTCTCCTTCGGTGGAGCGATTCTCTACTGCCTAAACCCCAAGAACTATGAAGATTACTACTAAACATGCTACAACACCCACAATGCACTTCAATGTCCTCTTCACTGTTGTGATAGCAGCTCATGCACTGAACATTCGTTCGGAACTGACCCTTGACTTTGCAAACAGACCATTGAAATGCAGGGCAGTGCCGAGCTGTTAAGATACATAGATTTTGATTCTTTTCCCCTCAGATTACTCTTATCACGCAATTAAACCCCACCATCAAACTCTCATTCTTTTTCTGTATGTCATCTCTCTCTCTCTCATGTCATTCTAACACCTCTGATCTTCTTCTGACTGTCAGATGAGCATCTGACTCAAGATGTCAGCCTATGTTCACAGGAATACTGCCAGTCTGTGATGTAATCAGTGGGGAAACCTCCATCTGTGGTGGGATCTGAAACAAGGCAGACAGAAGTCTACAACTCTGACAGAATAAAACTGTCATGATAGACGTGTTTTGAGACCTGAAAGATACAAGATAGAGGGTTTAAAGTCAAAATTTATCTGTTTATAATGCACCCGTGAACATAAATAAAAAAATAAATCATGCAGCTTGAAATAAGAAACAGTGTTATTGGTACAGTAAAGTACTAATCAGCCAAACTAAAGACATCTGTAAAATTGTAAACTGGTCAAAAAGATCTTATGCTTAAGGTGCGGTCACGTTTGTGAGATTTTGCAGGCAAAAAAAGGTCCAATGTCAAACGCTTTAAAGGGGTGGTTGATTGCGATTTCACTTTTTTAACATTAGTTAGTGTGTGATGTTGCTGTTTGAGCATAAACAATATCTGCAAAGTTACAAAGCTGAAAGTTAAATGCAAACTGAGATATTGTCTTTTAAAATTCTGGCAGTTTAATGCCTACAAAAACGGCTGGGTTTGTGACATCACAAACCCAGATAAACCCCGCCCTCGGGAAAAGGCAGCAAAGGGGGTGAGGCCATGCTGCCCTGCTTTAGAGAAGAGGAAGAGAAAACTAGAGGTGCAGGTAAAAATCTATTCATATATGAATCGCGATTCTGTCTTCTAACGATTCTAACGGATTCACAAGTTTCAAAATCAATGTTCTAAAGCAGCAGTTCTTAATACTGTTCCTCGTGTCCCCCTGCTCTGCATCTCTCTCTCTCTCATTCAGCTCACCTCCTACAATGAACTGTTACAATTATACACTTATTTTCACATAGTTATGAGAAGTGTTAAACATGGATGCGCATGCAGTTGCTGTACTGTATTAAAGCTTTAATCAGGATAAAACCGTATATTAAAAGCTAACATAAGCAGTAGCATTTACAAATAACAGCGTATCTAAAAGTATGACACAACAACAAACAAAAAACATAGGCCTACCATTAAAGCCGTGCTTGCACAGGTTCTGCACGATCCTCTTTAATAATATCCTCTGCTTCTCAATCGGGCTCAAACTGATAAGTTCATATTACTGATGCCTTTGTTTACAATACAACCGGAGCACATGCTGGTGAGGTGAGAGGCGGGACGATTAGACGCGCACTAGAGGCGATTTAGCCAATCACAACACACTGGGCTAGCTAACCAATCAGAGCCCATCGCCTATTTCTGAGGGAGGGGCTTCTTAAAAGAAGGAAATGATCAGCCCGTTTCTCAGAGAAGGGACAGAGAGGTGTGGAATAAAGGTAAATTATGTGAAAAATCATGCGTTTTTTTTAAAAACGAAGCGTTAACAGATGTTAGACTGCACCCCATAAACACAATCAAGCTTAGAAAAAAACCCAGTTAACCACCCCTGTAAGTCACTTTCAAACCAAGCAGCTTTCTGTTGATCAGGTGGGGAATTTGCACGACCGACTTGAATACGAGTGAAATCTGCCTCATGTAAAACTCTTGATTGCAGATTTCTATTGGAATTAATGGATTTCTCCACACATTTTCACTGATCAACAGTAAATGTTAGTAATGGTAAAAAATAATTACATAACTTTAGAAGGTCCACAGTCTACTGTCAATAGTGTAGTGATGTATGAAGCACAACTCATTCAGAAATCACTTTTAAACCAAGCAACTTTATGTTTATGTATGCGAATTCACATGACCAGTTTGAAAAAGTTGCGAAATATTTCAGTCTCATGTGAAATTCTCCTTTGCTTGGATTTCTACTGAAATGATCCTTTTTAATTCGAAAACATTGTGTTTGTCAATGCGGCGAAATCACATGACAAATTTGAACCCATTGAAAAATGTCACACTCCCGTGGAATTCCCCTTTGCGTGGATTCCAATTGAAATGGCTATTTCGAATGCGAAAATTTGCCGAACGGTAAATGTGACCACACCTTTATCCATAGATGTGCATCCAAGCATAAATGCCCTCATAAAACGCTAAGAAAAACTGATGTTACTTTAAGCACAGGTCATGTACATAGCACATGAATTGTCACCATACAGTTAATTTGTGCACATCTGGAAACACGCATATATCTCTTATTCAGTTTAAAAGGGATTTGGTAGAAGATACTTTGCATTGTAGAAAACCTAGGTCTTGTGGTGTAACCAAGCCTTGCGTATAGACTAGTTTTTTGACTGGTATCTGAAGAGTGATGATTATTAGTCTTTTGCATAAGTATTCAAACAGGTAGTTAAAGGCACTATATCATAACAAGCAACCCAATACCCTCCACTCCACTGGTGTAGTCAGAGGTCAGGACAAATCTGACAGGATATTCAGAGAGCAAAGAGCTAATTTTAGCTCAATGGAGGTTAGTCTAGAAATTCCATGAGATTTTTTAATGAAAACCACATCTAGGTAAATTCTTGCATTGCAAAGGGACAAAACTTGTAACTTAAGGTTCAATTCGTTAACAATGTATCAAGTGTCCAGTACTAAAAATGAATAATTTTTTACATAAAAAGTGATGAACTGAAATTAATACTCTTCAGCCAAAAAAAAAACAAAAAAACCCAGAAAATAAAATGTATTTAAGAATCAATTAATCAAAAGTTCATATATAATGAATTTCTATTATAGATTTGTGTGTGGGTGTGTGCAAATGTATATATGTGTGTGTATATATATATATATTTTTTTTTACATTTTCGGCCAAATCTTTTCTCTTACCAAAATTTTGGAGCATCATTAAACTCACAAGATTTTTTGGACAGCTCCAACTTCTACCACCTGACTGCTGCAACAACATGCGGAAACAATCAAAATGACAGCGGCTTTAGCCACTGTAAAAAGTATTTATGCAGTTATTTCATAATATTTCTGTTCAATAATTCCTATAATTGTCTACTGTTAATGACTTCATTCAGGAATAATCTAAAAATAAACAAGACATACAATACTAATGTAGCAAGCATACAGCACATGCTGAATAAACAGTTTTTTTTTGTTTTTTTAAATAGGCATTGCATAATGAAGAACGTCTTTGTTATCATCTAACAATTACTGTAATTATGACACGACATGAACAGCATTCATCTGAAATGTTGAAAATGTATTAACATATGTAGAAATTAATAAATGCTTGACAAGTATTTTTCAGTTCGGGTTCATGATACCAAATGCATTAACTAATATTAACGAATTGAACCTTGTTGTAAAGAATTACCAAAACATCAAATTATGACATGTTTAAATAAAGCAACGTTGTTGACTAAATAAAATTAAAAAATGATTGAATTCCCACCTCTTGGAGGTACAACAGGGCCAGGCTGAATATTATCATAAAAGTTGTTCATGGTTCTCACGTCAAACTTGCCTAAAAAATAAATAAACAACAAATAAGAGATGGATGAAGCAAATGATAGTCATAATTATCAATCTGTGCAATCACATGAAATAATGCTGTGCTATAGTCATAAAGATGACTACATTTGTGCTATTTTTACCTCTGGACTGCAGCAGGTCTGTCTCCTTCAAGGTGCAATCAATGTCAATCTGAAGCTGTCTGTTTTGCGACCGAATTCTGGTCATATCCTCTGGCTAGGAAATGCACGCACGCACACACGCTCGCACACACACACACACACACACACACACACACACACACACACAGAGTACATGACTTTTTCACATTAACCGCACACATAAAAGCAGTTTATTGCTGTTACACTCTTCACAGTAGCTTGTTAAAGTCATCACTGGATGAGTACATTATTATAGCAGTTTAACGTTTGAAAAGAGATTCATTCATAGTCTGTGAAGCATGCAGAATGAGCGAGAACCGAATGAACAGATGTGATTCATTTCCACCTTATTGTATTTGCAAGTTCTGCACGTAGATTCTAGGTATGTATGATTTTTTTTTTTTTTTTTTTACGTAAGGCTCATTTGGAGAAGTTGATGAGGATTCATTCCCTTTATTAGTGATGTAAAACAAGTGGGTGTGTGTTCCGCACTCGTTCAAAAAGATGCATTCACATGCTATAAAAGCCTTGTTTTTTGTCTCTCTCTTACCCGAGGTATCAGGCTGGTGCTGTTCACTCGTCTGAAGCGTCTCTGCAGGGCGTCAAATTCCATTTCATTCACTTCCGCCTTCACCTGCTCCAGTTTCTGCCGCTCCAGCATGAGTTCTTTCATCAGACGCTCCATTCGAGCACGCTGGTGCAGGAGCAGTGCTGAGGAGCATTAGACACAAGTATACAAGACTGTACAACACTTGCCCACATACACCCAACCCTGATGCATACAAACACCATTAACCGATGCAAAGAAGTTGTATAACCAGCTTATTCTGGACAGGAAATGACCACTTTGACAGGAAAGAGTTATCTGATCACCCCAAGCAGTTTTTTTTCATGAGTGATGTATAATTAAGGATACCTATGCTTTACTGGATATTAACTGCCTAGAAAAAACTATATATAGTATAGTATACTGTTTAAGCAGTTTTATAAAAAATACATAATAGTTCATAAAGCAAGGACTAGCTACTAGATTTTATAAAATAATACATTTTAACATGGCTTTCTCAAGCTTCTCAGCATTCAGTTAAAAATATGTTCCTTGACTCCTGGAAAAGTCCAGACATAAATAAGCCAGCCTGATTAAATACATATTTTATTATATTTATTCACACATATGCATACATAATAGGGCTGTGGGATATATCTAAAATGTATTTAAATATTTTTCTAAATTTAGATGATATTTTATATATATATATATATATATATATATATATATATATATATATATATAAATAAAATATTTAGCATTTTCTCTCAAAAAATATTACAAATACACACAATATTCACTCATTTTGTATCATCAGCAAAGATACTGCTAATATTTACAGCATCGCCCAGCCCGCAAACATACAAATACGTACACACTATCATTTAAAAGTTTGGGGTTGTCAAGATTTTGGATTTTGTAATGATTTTAAAAGAAGGCTGCATTCATTTTATCAAAAAAGTGATACATTATGAAATATTATTACAATTTACACTAATATTTTTAAAATGTAATTTCTTCCAGTGATGCCAAAACTGAATTTTCAGCAGCCACACGATCCTTCAGAAATCATTCTAATATGCTGGCTTGGTTCACAAGAAACACTCTTACTTTTAATAATGTTGAAAGGAGTTGTGCTGCTCAATATTTTTTGGAAACCCTTGATAATTTTTTCAGGATTCTTTGATGAATAGAAATTTAAAAGGAAATATATTTAAAATAAATATTCTGTAACGTTATACATGCATTTACTGTCACGTTTGATCAAGTTAATGCATCCTTGCTGAATAAAAGTATTGAATTAATAAATATACTTAATTATGTGTGTAATTTCTATATAAACACAAGGTCTTGCATAAGCAGATTCATACCTTGAGTATATGCATAGTCATCCGAGCCGGAGCTGGATCGTCTAGGCATGCGGTTGATCTGACTTGAGATGTTCCCTGGCAGGGCAGAGATGGGCAGGATTGGAGGAGGGGCAGCGTGGCGCTCGCCCTGGTCCACTATATTGAGGAGGGATTCTGTTTTAACTGGTGGAGAACTTGAGGAACGCTGCACCTGCCCAGGGTACATTTTGATCTTGATGAACGCAGAGGTGGCCGGCTGAGGAGAGGATGTGGGCCGGGGCCTTGCCACACCCTGGTGGACATAAATTCCTTGATGAATGGAGGCCCCGGGGGTTCCGGTCATACTAATGGCCCGGGACGGGGAGCTCGGTGAAGGGCTGGTGGCCATATAGAGCGATCCCTGCGGAGCATGTACAGGGGAGTTACTCCGTGGTCGGTGTCCCTCCAGTGTGATCTCTATCTGGTTCTTCATAGGGCCTTTGGAGGACATAAAAGGCCTGTGGGAAACTGGCGGCTGCTGGTAGGAAAGCCCAGGGAGAGTGGGGGGACTTATGGGCAGAAACACCTGGGGCGGCTGCTGGACCTGATGTTGGGGAGAACTGTACGGGGATGGGTATGTCGGAGTGGCGTAAGGAGACTGCTGGTACACAGATGTCCCAGATGTGGACCAGGGAGTGGGTTGAGGACTTTGAGACGGTGAGGGACGCATGTACACGGTGTTCCCACTGTTACAATAGGCACCAGGGGGGATCTGCAGCGCTTGTGGGGCAGTGGGGATGTTCTGGGAGAGGGTAACTGTTATGGGAGGCATGTAACGTGGGACAGGGTGGTATGTGGGTGACATGCCCTGGATGCTGGGTGGAGGGGTGGGGATGTTCGAGCGTCCTTGATCGTTCATGAAGAAGGGGTTGAAGACGGGTGACGGCACCATAGTAGCTGGGGCGGAGAGGGGCTCGGGGAAACCACTTCGAGGATGCTCGATGTGCCCGTCGCTGGAACTGTGGACCAAAGCTCGGCCACCAGCATTATTTTTAACCCCTTCAGTAGCAGGGTAACCCACACTAATGCGCAGCATGTGGTTCCGGTTTAAGTGCAAGTCATCTGGGCTGTGGTACTCCTCATACAGGTATCTATTACTCTCCTGAGCCAGCAGATGGCAGCAGATGTCCAGGTTATTGTTGTTCTGAGGAGGAAATGGATACAGTAAAGTAAACATGTTCTTGCACCTGATGCCTCTCTGATACACTCAGTAATGGCATTGAGCCAAAATGACACAGCAGAAAATATTACTGATAAAACTTCACACTCACTGTACATCATTATCATAAGGTTTACATATGCCATAGTTCAAAAGTTTGGGGTCAGCAATTTTTTTTTTAAATAAATTATTATTTTTATTAAGCAGGAATGCATTAAATTGATCAAAAGTGAAAAGTGCATTACAAAAGATTTCTATTTTAAATAAATGCTGCTCTTTTAAATTTTCTATTCAACAAATCCTGAACAAAAAAAACAAAAAAAAATTCCACAAATATATTAACAGGCACAACTGTCAACATCAATAATATTAAAGGGGTCCTATTATGCTCTTTTACAAAGTCTTGATTTTGTTTTGGGGGTGTACTAGAACATGCTCTCATGCTTGGTGGTTCGAAAAATTCATTATTTTTCACATAATTTACATTATTAAAATCCCTTTCTCCTCAGCCTGGCACAAACGGCTCGATTAGTTCCGGCTTTGATGAAGGTCCACCTTCCGAAAAACAAAATGTGTTGTGATTGGTTAGCTGTCCCAGTGCGTTGTAATTGGCGAACAGCTTAGACGGTGTTTCAGTACTGCCACGCCCCCTTGCTCCGTCTTTCAAACAACAGCTTTTTGGCGAATCCGGCAGCCACTGTACTCCCTCATGTTATGGAAGCTGTCCTCAGTAAAATGCGCAGCACACAATAGCAAATTGGGGTTGTAATGCTCAGGGCCAGAGTTAAAAAATAAATTGCAACCACTGTTTCCTGATATCATCCGCTTTTGGAAGCCCAAACAAAGACGTTTGGGCAAGGAGGTGGAAAAAAAAACTGTTTCAGGCGGTCGCGCACCGGACGAGAAGCGCAGCGTCGCGCCACGTCTTTAAGATTCGAATACATTATTTTATATGAGCATAGGCACACCAGCGGCACCGTTCGGCGTCTGTCCACGGCGCCCAGCTACGTCGTGCTATACTTGTAAGAATTGTTCTAGACCAGCCGAAAATTTTACGCTAAAGAAACATACACACTGACTAAAATTAAAAAAGTGAAAAAGCATAATAGGACCCCTTTAAGAAATGTTTTTGAGCATCAAATCAACATATAATGATTTCTGAAGGATCATGTGGCGCTGAAGACTTAAGTAATGGCTGCTAAAAATTCAGCTCTGCCATCAAACGAATAAATTATATTTGATAAATTATTATATTCAAATTGAAAAGAGTTCATTTAAATTATAATAATATTTCACAATATTACCGTTTTCCCTGTATTTTTGATCAAATACATTCAGCCTTGATGAGCATAAGAGACTTTTAAAAGCATTACAAAATATTACCAACTGCAAACCTTTGAATGGGTGGCGTACATGACCCTTACAGTCAACAGTTGATTTTCATAAGATAATTTGTAAAATGTGTGTAAATTTTTTTGAGTTGGAGATGAACATGCCATTTTGAGGAGAAACCGTTTTTGATAAAGCAATGCCAACTTTTAACTTTCAAATTAAGTCAATTTTATTACAACATTCGAACAATAAATGTTGTTATGTAATCGCCCAATCAGTGATTCAAATCAATAAACGATATCAATAAAACCACTTGTGGACAACATGCCACCTGACTTGATTTTATCTCAGGAAAGCCATTTTATGTCCATGGTTTGTTAGGTAGAAAGAAAGAAAACTCTAGAGAATAATCACTAAATATATATATATATATATATATATATATACACAAAAAATTGAAATAATATAACATGACAAAAGAAAGTTTTCTCAAAAACAAGTTTTATGAAAGCCCTGTAGATGATTATATAATCAACAGTTTTGGAGAAACATAATTATATGTTATTATATTGTAATAGCAAAAGCTTTCCCATTTCATTCACATGTGTTTCTGGGTCAAAATTACTCAATGTCGAAGCAGGCCACAAACATTCTTAACATCCCATTTGTTTCAATTGTGACTGCTGGTTCTCACCTGAAGAAGGCACTGAGACACTACTTTCTCTGGAATCTCTGGGAAGCGCTGCTTGAGGTCCTGCAGTATGTGATAGTCCAACTGAGGCCCTCCCTGCGCCATCCTGAGCCCAAAGAGAGAGTCACTGAGTCCGCAGCCAGGAGCGCAGCACCTGCTCTCCTCTCATCCCCTGACAACACACATGAATAACATCACATCACAGCCACAGATCGAGTTTGACTACTCGCATGCACCGCTAACAAACTACCTTGGGGTGTTTGCAACAAAGAGAAATCATTAAAGGGACAGTTTTGGTATCATTAACACGCATCATTCATTCAACTACAGGGCTCCAGACTCATTCTTCCCACTGGTCCCTCTTTTGCGACTAACTTTCTCAGTTGGTCGCACTAGCACATGATTTGGTCGCAATATTTGTTTGTTTTTTGCGCTACAACATGGTATTAATCAATGCATGCTGATTAACTTTTATCATAGTTTATAGTTATATGGAAACGAAAGCGGTTAACATTCAACCCGTTCTTTTTCATCAGTGACTGCTGGTTCTCACCTGAAGAAGGCACTGAGACACTACTTTCTCTGGAATCTCTGGGAAGCGCTGCTTGAGGTCCTGCAGTATGTGATAGTCCAACTGAGGCCCTCCCTGCGCCATCCTGAGCCCAAAGAGAGAGTCACTGAGTCCGCAGCCAGGAGCGCAGCACCTGCTCTCCTCTCATCCCCTGACAACACACATGAATAACATCACATCACAGCCACAGATCGAGTTTGACTACTCGCATGCACCGCTAACAAACTACCTTGGGGTGTTTGCAACAAAGAGAAATCATTAAAGGGACAGTTTTGGTATCATTAACACGCATCATTCATTCAACTTCAGGGCTCCAGACTCATTCTTCCCACTGGTCGCTCTTTTGCGACTAACTTTCTCAGTTGGTCGCACTAGCACATGATTTGGTCGCAATATTTGTTTGTTTTTTGCGCTACAACATGGTATTAATCAATGCATGCTGATTAACTTTTATCATAGTTTATAGTTATATGGAAACGAAAGCGGTTAACATTCAACCCGTTCTTTTTCATCAGTAGTATTTGTGATTTGAATTTTGTGAATGGGAGTTCTTTTGCTGAACTTTTGGGAGTTCGAATTCGCAATCTTGTTGTAACGTTTTACAAGAAAAGACAATTGTCTGTTTTGCTTACATACATCTACACACCTTTCACTTTTTAAGACTAAAACAAAAGATGGATCCATTGTTATTCTTAATTAAAAAGCACAACAACAATAAAACAGTAAGATACAATGACAAACTAGCTTACAAAACGTTTATTAACAAAAACGAATAAGATGAGGCATACCCACTAATAACTTACAGAACATTTAGCAAACACTGAGGAATCAAATAAAAAATAAAAATAAAAGAGCCTCCATAGCGTAACGTGAGGTAAACAGCAAAGATAACAAGCTTTTCAAAATGAAAACAAAGAGAAAAGTAAAACTAAACTTGTTGTCGGTGACAGTGCTTGCATGTGTTTTTCCCACAAGAATACCAACATGTTCACCTTCTCCGGTTTAAGAAGCGGTCTTTTACTTGACTTTAGCATGAAAACCATCCCTCGTTTCCTCAATATTCACGTAATTTTTGCTGCGCGCACTAGGGCTGTGCGATATTGAAGAAAAATGTGATATGCGATAACTCATTAAATAATGCGATACGATAATGCTTAAAGTGCCACATGCTCAGATGAAACAGTTTTACTCAGCTGTTGCCGAGTCAGTTCTGTGAACTTCTATAACTAGCTTGTGTCATATATATATGGTTATTTGTATGTATGTATCAAGAGCTCCAGTAAAACCACAACAAATTCCTTGTGTTTGCGCACACTTATGTGGTGAATAAAGCTCATTCTGATTTTGATTCTAATATAACTAGCATACATGTTTCCCTTTTTGTGAGAAGAAAGTGAGTTTAGGAACTGAATATTAAAAAGGAAAAATACAAACTTCTTAGTATTTACTCTATGAATTCAATATGCACTGATTCTTATTTAAGCTACAAAAGTTATTTAGGTAAGAGCAGTGAGTGATTTTCTCTGTCTTTTGTTCATGGCCACAAATATTGCAAGCCGTAGCGATATGCATATTGCGATATGTACATTTGCGATATTTCGATATATTGCACAGCCCTAGCACGCACCTTCGCGCTCGTGCTGACGCAGCGAGTATAAACCAGGCTCTACACTCGAAGCGCTGCTCAAACGAGTAGCACGGTTTCGTTATGCTTTCAGTTTTGTTTACCGTTTGATGTTTCTCAAATGCAACAGAAATGGCAGCGCTTATGAGTTGAACAACGCGGTGGTCGCGCCAGTGTGACCGCTCACAAAATTTAGTCGCACAGGCAGAAAAAATGGTCGCAAAATGCGACCATTTGGTCGCAGTCTGGAGTCCTGAAATATATGAGTTGGTCAGAATGACAGGATGAGTATAGGCTGAACTAGAGCCCGACCGATATGGGTTTTTTGGGGCCGATACCAATATTAGGGAGTAAAATATATCGGCCAATATTCTTTGTGTATATTATAGTACAGTACCAGTCAAAAGTTTGGACACTTTCCCATTTGTGTGTTCAAACATTTGACTGGTACTATAGGCCTATATAGAATACAGTACATACATAAACAGAATATATATACAGCTCGTCAGTGAACAACGGCTCTGTGTAGTTAATGCTGCTGAATGTGAAAGCACGCAGGTGATGGAGATTTACCGCTGATTACAGAACCGGCTTTCTGACAAGATGCGCGTTAAATATCGCATGCGATTAATCGTGCAGCCCTAACATAAACACATTTTTTGCAATGATCACTCAAATGTGGGGATAAAAAACTTTTAATGACGTGACAAAGATATGCAACAATTTAAACTTTATTTTAACTATAATTATATAGTTAAACAAACTATATAAAACTATAACAAATTATAATATAGTTTATAACAAACTATAATTAGTCTGACATCAGTGCACTGAACAGTAAAGTTGAACTATAATTCAATTCAATTCCATTCAACTTTATTCAGTTTAAGTTTATTTCACTTCGGAACATTCATTCACGGATTTGCGCTACTGTCTTCACACACAGACTAAATGTACTAGAGAAGTGTGACATAATATACCTGTAAATAAATTTAAATTCACGTCTCGCGCACTTTAATGCCCTTTGAATGTAACGTGTACTTTCCCTTCGATCTGGAATCAAGGCGGAATATCATGTGAAGTCCACTTCGCAGGGCACTTACGGTCAAATAAGCCAACGCTTGAATGCTGCTGCCTGAACAAGAGACCTCCTTACTGAAGTGAAAGTGTTGGCTGGTGTCACTATCTCGCAAACGCGCCATCGGATCTCCACCAAATTCGGGGATCCCTTCAGCTCGAGGAGCCCTCTCTAACGCCACCCTCCGCGAGTTGGTAGCACCCCGGAATCGCTAGATCGGTCGGCACCGGACTGCGAATTTAACCACCCGTAACTCCCGAACCCCGGGGGCTATCGGAAAAAATTTTACATATCGACGGCATATTCGCCGATACCGATATATCGGCAACAGGCTCATATCGGCCGATAATATCGGCTAAAATGATATATTGGTCGTGCTCTAGGCTGAACCATCCCCTTAACCCTAAAAAGCCTAGGCAACATTTGGTACATTTCTTAAGGCTACTAAATTATCAACATGAACAAAACTTTGCTTAAAAAAAAAAACCTGTTTTACACAATCTGCCACATGTCTTGAGAAGTAAAAGACCTTTTAGTATAATTCTAAAACAGTCCACCTTTAGGTTGTGGTAAACTGTCAAATGTTTAATTATTTTATAAAGTAAATGCAAGAATAACTTTTATATTGTTAGTAACATTTCAAGATAAACATTTACTTGACTGAAGCAACTTTACTTGATTATCCATACAGCATAACAAAATGGTGATAAAAACATGATACAAGCCTTTGAACAAGATTTTTGTACATCACTTAATCATCATTGTATTTTTCTATTGCAGTGTATGTCCTCATAATGAAAACTACAGACATTTGATCACAAAACTAAACCTTAAAATATCATCTTAAAGGTGCAGTAGGAGATCTTGGAAAATGCTAACTTTAGCCTGATAGCACTGAAAGCGAACGTCCAACCCTCCCTGCAATCGCCGTCCAAAGCCATGGTCCCTGAGCGCATGAACGCACACACAGACCAGACGACCAGAGACAACATCACTACAATACATTATGTGTTAGTAACCGGTGAGAAAACTTTATAGTACAGTTAGTAAAAGGAATGCAATACCAGGAAGTAAGGTCAGGTTGTTGATGTTTGCCTGCCATTCTCGCTCTGTCTGTATGCAAATACATATGTTGACAGGCAGGTAGGAAAGCCTGGGCGTTTGGATTAGATTAACATTTCTTGGTTCAACACCTTCCACATAATATATAAATACATTTAGACCACTTAACTTAATGATTGCTATCGGGATGTGAAGAGACTTTCAACCAGCATAACAAAAAATTTTTATGAAGACAATCACCTATTGCACCTTTAAGACATATTAGGAGATATAGAGCAATATATTGAGTGACCATTTTTAAAGACCTCACTAATTTACATTTAGCAGACGCTTTAATCCAACGCGACTTACAAATGAGGATAATGGAAGCAATCAAAATCAACAAAAGAGCAATGATATGCAAGTGCTATAACAAGTCTCAGACATTATTATTATCTCATCTTACATTACAAGCTATCAGAATTTCATCTTTTTGTAATTAACAACAGACAACAACTAACATAAATAACAACATGTGCACAAAAGTGCATATTTTTGCACAGTTTGGGCCTCTGAATAAACTTGTGTTTTTCTTCCTCAAATGTGAGCTCCATATAGGCCTATATCATACAATTATTTGAGCTATGATGTATCAAACACGATACAAAACCTAAAACATACGAGCAAACTTTTTTTTTTAGATTTTGTCTAAAGGTTCAATAATATGTTCCATTTCAAAACAATTGATTTTTCGGACTATTATTTCACACGTCAGGCTTTCTAGGGTTAAGGTCGCTAATGCACCAGACGGCCGCAGACTCTCGGCTGCGCAGTGTGAACATGGCGCACTAATGGACAGGAACAGAGACTTCATACCTGCACCTGAAAAACTGCTAACGTTATTTATCAGAACAAAAGCTTGTTTATTTGGTATATCTACGGTAAATCAAGTGTAAATGCAAAGCTAAAAGACATATAAAGCTAGTCCTGTGTGTGACGGCGTATAAGAATGTCTTGACATGAACAGTGTTTCACGAGTACAACTCCCTTCCGCTCTACTTCATCCATCCACACACGACATGTGTGTCATAATCATAATTGCACCACTGTTATCACTTTATTTATTAAACGGAACATAAGCTAATTCAAAGAATGGGATGCCGACCTCAAACACAAGTGACACATAAGTACACAAAAAATGCATTTGAATGCAACACCAGTTTTATATACAATAAAACAGCAAAAATAAAACTAAACACCAACATTTTAGATTGTATGAACGACATAACTTCATAATGGGTTCCCTTGTCAGTTTCAGTTCTTCTTGACAACACAAACCAAGCGCAGGTTCATTCCAGCACTGTCTCCTACTAGCCGAGCCAGCTAAGCATTCATAAAAACACAATCTGTTACCAAAGAGAAACTTTTAAGGTCAAGCAGTGACGGTTCTGACCAGTACCTGTGTCAGATGCCTCCTGATCGCGGAGAAACCACGACAAGCCGTCACCAAATCCGTTTAAGAGCCACAACTCAACGCTATTTTAACATGACAAAGATAGAAAGCCGCAATTGACGGGATCAACACAGACAACAGGGTCTCATTACAAAACCAAAGTTTCTGCATTATTCTTTCAACATATGTAAATATCACGATAAACACAATCGTTTCATTCGCACGTAGTTATCTCTGGAAGAAAAAAAACCCCTCACTGGCTGTTCATTAACCGTTAGCATTAGCATAGCCGCTAGCTGTCCGGTATTTAGCCGCTGGGAGAAACGGAAACGCAACGCACGCCGCTCCCGCGTGTTTATCTGACTAGCGTCTAAGTAATCCTGCGCGCAATAGCTGCCTAAAGCTTGCTGATATCGTAAAAAACCCAAACAGCAGTTTATACGAACACTCACTCGCTGTCAGTTTCGATGCAGTGCAAACAACGGTTGGCTGCCCGCCGTTCTGATAACACTATATGCACGGCAACATACCGTGCGCCGGAGCCTCACGGCCATTGACCATCCAAGCGAGGCTTTTCACAGGGGGTGTGTCACCGGACTGCTGAGGTGATCTGAAATGTCAACGATTCACCGGGGTTCTCCAGGGAGCACAGCGGTTAGCACAGTCTCAACTAAATTATCGTCTTCACTTACGCCTATTTCTCTTCCTCTGACGTTCCGGTTGAAGGTTTCTCATGTAACTATATATACGGCACATTCATGCCCTCTGTCGGGCTGGGGTAAAAGAAACGAGATCCTTTACACAGTAAAATGGGTAAAAAAAAAAAACTCCCTGGGGTGGTACTCTTTCAAAATTACTATAATAAATATGTGATTTTGATACCAATATGTACACTTTAGGTAGTAATGAGCACCCTTTAGAGGTACATTTGGTACAAAGTCCCAGTGATAGCTTTTGTACCCTTTTTTCTGAGAAAAACACTGGGTTCGTTTTTCAACCCAAATCGTGGTTGATTTAACTCAATTTGGGTCATTTTGGCAACCTAGCGCTGGGTCAAAAAGGGATGTACCCAGTGCTGGGTTGCCAAAATGACCGAAACTGGGTTGTTTTTAAAAAAAAAAATTAGATTGTAGGCTACATTGCTAAACCTTTAGTAACCAATACAGTCTATAGCAGTGTGGAATATAGGACATCTTTGTGCACACTTTAACCCTGTATGGCCTGACGTAAAGGGTTGAGTATGTTTTTTAAATCATCATATCATATTTAATGCATCAGGTTTAATGGCTGTATGATATAGACAATATAAAGCTCATACTTGAAGAAGAATAGCAGCCCAAACTGGGCAAAAAATTTGGCAATTTGGTGCAGTTGCTGATGTTTATGGCGAAAATGTGAGATGGAATTCTGATAGCTTGTAATGTATATCACTGAGATCTGTATAACAGTATAACAGGCTTACATAGGATACAAATATCAGTTGTCACTCTCTGAAAGCTCTATAGTTTTTATTGTGCATGGGGCAAAACATATAATGCAGTGCAATACAATGATGACAGAGATCTACAAATAAATGTTACCCAGTCAAAAGTCTGTTGTGGCATATTTGCATATCACAGTTTAACATGATTTTCTTAAAAAAATATAAAGTTGCTTCAGTTCATTAAATGTTCAACTTGAAATATTATTAAGAATATAAAAGCTATTGTTACGATATTTCATAAAAATCAGTAAAGATTTCACAGTAAAAAGTCACATGTACCATTACCTAAAGGATCTGTTTCTTCAGTTATACAAACCACAATCAGACCACAGAATGCACGTAGTACATTGTGTAAACCAAGTTTTTCAGCAAAGTTTTGATCATGTGGATAATTTTAAGAGCCTTCTATCAAATATGATATGATACAGTAAGCTTTATAGGGTTAATAAATACATTTCAACAGCCTCTATTATGTTAAATGTGTTTAACATCGATATATATTTGATCATAACCCAAAGCCTGAACCGTTAGAAGGCAAAATAATTCCCAAAGCATCAAGAGTTGGGCTCAAATTTCAATGCATTGAGATGTTTTTCTTACAGTTCACCAGATGAGGGAGTCATTTACTGCTGCTCAGCTACAGATATGATTTAGCATAACAAACAACTCTGAATCCCTCCCTCTCAACAGATCTATGAAGGCAATTTATGAACTTATTTATGTTAAATAGTCCTGCATATGACATCTGAGAATTACACTGAAGAACAGTAACACTTTACAGTAAAGTCTCTTTAGTTAAGGTTAGTTAAGGCATTATTTAACATTAAATAACAAGCAAAAAATGTTTTGATTACATCACTTATTAATAATTTGTAAGGTTAGTTAAGCAAAATCAAAAAGGTACAGGAGCTATGGAGACATCTTTTCTACAAGCTGAGACCAAGACTTCCAGTTTAAGACTAGGAGGCCAAGATCAAGACAATATGCACTAAGATCCAAGGCCATGTTGTGATCTTGAAGGTTTGTCTCAAGACAAAGAGCACACAATCAAGACTTCAATTCTGATGTGTATATTGCTACTGTACATATACACAGTGGAATAGCTATGTCATATGTCTATTTGGGATCTCTGACACAGATCAGGATTTTAGATCATAGCAAAGTTATTTGAGATTGATAAGTCAACATCTTCTCTGAGCTCCTGGGCAGTCAGCCAGTTCTCACTTGTCACAAGCCCTAATTTAGCTTTGCTCTGGTACCTGATAGTGAAGACTTCAGCTATCTGTAAGCAGATACGCAGAGGAAATACAGCTCTCTGTAGACCTTGGTCATGATTAGCAATGATATCTTAATGATTTGCGAACAATACTTGAATGCTTTAACAACAATAATTTATACATTTTGATCTAAAAGTAAAACTATGAGAAAGTTTTAATCAATAGACTATTGTTTCAGACCTTCATAGACACAAATCACATGATAAATTAGCAAAGATACAAATTAAACTAGACCCATCAAGCTAGATTTCAGGGCCTGAAACATTGGAACATGGTTGAGTGAATTGTTATGCAGCATATTTCAGCAGCTGTGAAGCAAATACAAATGTTTCAAGTGTTACAATTTCTCTTTGAAACCAACTGTAAACTTTTCATCATGCCCAGTGTCCTGCTGTAATCTGCACCTGTTCCTGTAGTAGAGTAAATGCCCAACCAGGCCAACAGCTGACTTGTTGAGAGAGGGAGCAAGGCAGGCAGGAAAACAGTAGTAAAGAGTCAAAGAGAAGAAGAAATAAAGACATAAAGAGGGGTTAAATTACATTTGACATCACGCTTCCTGTGGGAATTGTATTTTTTTATAATTTGTATAAAAAATAACCAATAAACCTGACATTAGCTGTTGTGTAATATTTGGGAATTCTTTTGCCTAGTCAGACAGATTTCCATTAAGTCAAACAAAAGAAAAACATGATGATGCACAGTCAGTGGCTCCATAATCTGTCCATCCCAAGGAGTTTAATAGTCCCTATGCCCAGAGCATCTGAGTCATTTTTTACATTAAAGTTGGCATGAAATTAAATTCAGAAGATCTATTTTCTAAATGCATCTTATTGATATTTTCGTGAATGATTCATCCATGCATTGTATCTTTTTTTAATGTTTTTCCTCAATTTCTATTTCAATTTCAGATTTTTCTCTGGTGATATATGCAGTATTTCTCCAATCATTTCATCCCCTTAAACCCCACCTCTTTCTTATAATCAGCTGTAAGCTCACATTTAGATCCACCTCCATCCAATCAACAACCAATGGACAGATCTAAGTCCCCACCCTACATTTTTTCTTCTCTCTTATTTTAGTCAAAAGTTTTTGCAAACACGCAGCTTTCTGCTTCACAAGATGCTAATTGATGGACTGGAGTCGTGTGGATTACTTGTGTATCATTATGATATCTTTATCAGCTGTTTGGACTCTCATTCTGATGGCACCCATTCACTGCAGAGGATCCATTGTGAGTAAGTGATGTAATACTAAATTTCTCCAAATCTGTTCTAATTAAGCAGTGAGAGAAGCAGCAGTGAGTATTAGCAGGCTAGCTGTCTCTATAGCTCTGATCTCTGCCCACAGGTGGGATGCTATTTCGGGCTCTCCCTTGTTGTTCCCATTGGTCTTCCAGAGTGGAGCTTTTAGCATAGCACTTTAGCCTTCAGATTGAAGAAAATTTATTTTTAGAGCAACTTTCAGAGGCTCAAACAGTATAAGGTTCAAATATATTCATAAAATGGAGTCAGAACCATACAGTATGACTTATAGTCTATCTTATTTTTTTCTTTCATGGTAGGAAATGCAACCCCTTGCATGACACTATACAAACATCTCATGCAAGCATCCTCCTTTTGAATGCTTCTCAAAGCTGCTGGTTAAACCCCTTTAACCCTGAGTATGAGTCTTCCAGTACCGAAGGTGTCGCAGTCTGAAGGGAGAGAGAGATGCATGTTGGGTCTAAGTTCATTTGCATGACACTATACAAACATCTCATGCAAGCATCCTCCTTTTGGATGCTTCTCAAAGCTGCTGGTTAAACCCCTTTAACCCTGAGTATGAGTCTTCCAGTACCGAAGGTGTCGCAGTCTGAAGGGAGAGAGAGATGCATGTTGGGTCTAAGTTCATGTCACAGATGACAGTGCTGTCCTTCAGGCTGAGGGGGTTTCCAGCTCGTTATGGTTAACACTTGCTGAATGAATCATTGCTGAATGAAAATATTAAACTTGAAGGTTACACTTTACTTGAAGGGGTGTGCATAAGACTGACATGACACCTTCATAATCATGACATGACACCTACATAATCATGACATGTGTCATGTCATGATTATGAAGGTGTCATGTCAGCCTTATGCACACCCCTTCAAGTAAAGTGTTACCAAATTGGTTATAATTAGCATCTAAAAATTCTAAGAACCCCCGCACCCCCACTACTACTGGCTGGTGAGGTAGAGAGATATAATCAATTACCTGTTCACACTGCGTCCAAAGTTTGTTCATAGTATTATTGGTCATTTGTAACATGAATACAATGCATGAATGCTCTGGAGGGAGGCATCAGAACTGTTCATCCCGAAAGCATGCTGTTGTGTCAAAGAGCAATGAGATAATAGATCCCCACTGACAGGTCTGAACCACACTGTCACCACAGCAACAAGGCCTGCTGTCTATTAAGTGCTTAAGTAATATTTGCATTTTCTAAAATCCTAAATCCAAGCAATTAACAAATAAGTTGAAAGTGGCCATTTTTATTCACATACTTTATTTTTTAATTTTTATTTAATGTTATACACTGTGATATTGTTTGAGGTCTGGAGTGGCCCATTGAGATATCTGGGTTATCACACACCTCAATGTGACTGTGATAAGTGGGCCAGAACTGACTGGACGAGCCACACACTCTCAAGATAAAGCCTACTGGCTCCAACGGCCAACAATAGCTTTCCATGTAAACAAGCTGATGTTTGTGTGGAAAATATGAATGAAAACAAACAAACCTGATAGATGATTACATAAAGCGTCTATATATATGTGGATGATTGGAATAGTGGAAAAAGGGTTCTATTTTTGTTTTTTTGGCTTGGCAATGGAAAAAGTATGAATTACTATATAATTTACAGTAAATATATCTTTCAATAAAACTTTTTTTATAAAAAGAAATATTATTAATTATTATTATTAATCACGTGACCTAATTTAACCTGTATTATTATGATATTTGTGTATGGTACAATGTTTTAGTAGCCTAACTCAAATATAAGGTGCAAATAATACTATTAGACATAACATTAGTAAAAAAAAAAAAAACCGACAAAACCGTCGCCTGTGAAAGGTTGAACTTTACGTAAATTTTACATGATTTTTTTAGTGTACATGCAGGCTGCCATTAAAAATACATAAACTAATGAATAAGCACATTACTAAATAATAACTTACAGGTAATTCGTGTCGTTGACAGACAGAAAATAACAATTATGGTTTGCCAACAATTAATTTTGTGTAAAAGAGCCTCAGACTCGGAGATAAGGAGACATATGTGGTGCGACAGCTGAGGCCGTCAGCCGGTGGCGCGTGTGGAATGCGGTAGATGGAGAGGGGCACGGATATTTTTATGGATAGCGTCCACCGATACCCGACTGCGCTCATTTGACTCTGTCGCACAGGAAGAGAAGACTGAACCTGTGCTTGGGGATTTAGACTTGATTTTGGCATTATCAAAGTCTCCGTGAACTACGGAAAAAAAAATCTTATGATTGAAGACAAAGGGAGAATATCACTCTAAAGAAGGTAGGATGTTTTACGTTATCGCTTACGAAGTGTTAAGAATATAATAAAGCCTGTTGGGGGG